TCAGTCTCCATAAAAATAGACAGCACAAAAGAGAGATATAAAAGGTGTCACAATTGTCACATTGTCACATGTCATAAACAATTATTAATAGTGATTTAATACCAAATTAATATATAGTGGGTAATAAAATGGAATTATTTTCTTGTTCTACTTTTCTCTGTCAAGTTCTTGCATCATGCGCTACAGACACGTCACTGGTCACTGGTGGCACCACATCCCTCCAATGCTGGAATGATGGATGGAGCAGACTCACTGTGGATTAGCTGCCTGCCCATGGCTGCACAGCAGAGATTATGGCAGGAGCAGGGAAATGGTGGCAAATTGCTCCATTCCAGGAAATACAACATGATTAGAGCTGATCCTCCCTGGGCAGGAGAGGCAGAAGATGTGGCAGCAAGCAGCAGGGCAGGTGATAGATCAGCTGGTGCAGGACACTCCTGATTCCACAGCAAATACTGTGATTTGGAATGTGACTTTGGAGAGAGACTGGCCCTGCACAGACACACAACTGTGGCAGGTGATCACATTATCAGGCATGTAAATTGCAGGATTTGTGATACCAGAGAGGATGCTTGATCTTGGCAAATGCAAAGGAGATGGACCTACTAAGATGTTTGGATGTGGTCCTAGGAAATATGGAGAAGGGTGGTCCCAGAGGGCTGACTGAAGGCCTTACCTTCACCAGGCAGTGAAATAGCAGATGAAATTACATAAAACAAATACGACATGATCCATGGGGAAACCACCATACTCATTTTCAATAGGCAGCAGTGGGCTCTGTGTGAGCTAATGTCACTTAGGAATAATCCATCTCAAACAGAAAACAGCAGACCCCCAAAAAATCCAAACACAGAACTTGGAGAAGGACAGCAAGGACAAGCCAATGTCCAGACTGGCTGCTGCATGAAGGGTATCTGTGTGGACTGGGATTCTTCAGCCTGGAAGAAACTACTGAGGTGCCCATGACTGAGGTATACACAGCTGAGAGGGACAAGGAGAGCAAGTCAAATTAGCAGGATATAAAATAAGTGAAAGGGAGATGCTTCCTCCCTTCCCTTGGCTTTAGGCTACTCCCACACATGGCTGTGTCTGTTCAATGTCAACAGGGATTAATAAAATCCACAGGACAAATCTCTGGAAAGAAAATCTCCTGAAGTTTATGCAGTATGAAGATACTACCTTCAGTTCAAAAAATGTTTGAGCTGCATAGGAATATTGTGTGTGCATGCCCTGATCTCACACCCTTTGCTCTGCTCTAGCTGTTGCCCAAATGTTGGAGGCAGGATGCAGGGCTGGGAGGTCCCAAGCTGGAATTTTCTTGCTCCCATCCCTTTCTCTGGAAGGAGAAAGAGGACTTTCAGGACTCACAATTTCAGGAAACCTGAAGTCCCAGCATATGAATTACACATTATTTTACCATGAGCCCACTCTTTTGGCATATTGATCTGATAGAACAGAGCCCAGACTAGCTAAGAAAGGTGTCCAGAATAGGCAGATTTCTGCTTTGGGCCTGGAACTGTGTCTGGTTTCATATTCCCAAACATAGGAAAGACACTAATATGCTGGATCAAGTCCACCAAAAAGATTGAAGGAGCTCAGACACCTGATATTGGAGAAGAGGATGAGAGAAGCTGGGTTTTAGGCTTCAGGGAAAGGCTAAACAAATGGAGACTTCCTTGTTTTCTTCACTACCTCATAGGAGGGATGGAATGAGAGGCCAAAATGCAAATAGCAAGGAGGAAAGTTCTGATTAGATACTAGGAAAATTATTTGCTCTGTGAAGGGAATCAAGTAGTTCCACATGGACCCAGAGGTGGGCAATCTCCATTCTGTGAGACTGTGGATGGGACAGGGTGCTGAGCAGCTGACTGACATCCTGCTCAGAGTGGGGGGCTGGACCAGAGACCCCCAGAGCTCCCTTCCCACCCTGATCATGCTATGGTTCAGTGCTGCACCCCATCAGTAGAGAAAAGCCTGGATGGTGAGCACAGGTTTAGCTCAGATGTGATGAGAAAGAGCCTGCTGTGGTGTTTGATCCTCCCCCCAGACGTGCAAAGGGTTATATTCTTTTTCTGCCCTTTCAAGCTCCGAATGGTACTTGTGCCCAATGCCTGCTGAGACAGCTTCCTCTCACAGCATCTTCTCTCCCGTCAGTCTGCTCAGAGAGTGACAGTGCCCTCTGCTCCTGGCTCCAGGGGAAACGCGTTCAGCTGCTGCAGCCTGAGCCAGCCAGAAATGAGGCTTCAGATCTCGTTAGCAAAGCTTTCTTCCTCTGCCTCCAAATCCAGCGCCGACTCACACAGCCACAGATGTTTTCTCACTTCACTCGCACAATTTATCCTCCCCTTTCCCATCCTGCACCCTTAAGTTCCTCCCTTTCTAAAATGACAGGCTTCTTCCTGCACTCTGACAACAAGCTCTCACCTCTGGTTCTTCCCCAAATATTAACAGATGGTGCCAGGGCAGGGCTCTGACAGATGACAAGCACAATGGGCTTTCTGAGGAGGTATTTGGAGAAGGATTCCCTCTCTCAAGCCTGAAGAAACAGGGAACACAGCAACCTCCAGCTGTTTGAAGAGATTCTGCATCAACCAGAAGTGTCATCTTTAGCTATGGGAAAGCGCTGGAGTTAATGATAATTTTTTTAGCTATGTGTATTGCCTAGATAATAACTGCAGCATACATGTGCCACAGAGTTGCTGGCACATACTCAGCCAGAACCTTAATTTAAAGTTCTTTATAGGTTTTCAACCTGCAAGGGTATATTTCCAAATGCCTAGCTGGACCCTGGAGAAAATAGGAAAAAGGAGGGTCTCTGTGACCTCAGACAGCTGGGGAGATGAGCACAAAGGAAGGTCCTATGCTATGCATCTCCTTTCCTGTACCCTTGAAAAGAGGGGACCGGTCCTTGTTGGAGCAGGAATTGCTCTGGGTCAGATTGAATGGACAGGGTGTAGTAGGTTTTCCTGCCTTTGCAGTTTAACTATCTCATTCTGCACAAAGGAAAGGCCATTGAGGGAGAAAATACTTCCTCGATCCACCAGTTGTGTTAGGTTTGGCTTTTTCTCACCACCTTCTTCCCCATCTGTTACAAAAGAAAAGCAGCAGTTAGAGGTGCATCCTTCAGCCTTGCCTAGTCCCTCTGACCCTTTGGCACAGCTCAGCCCTGCCCTGGGCTCCACAGGGCATGGATCCACGAGCATTCGGCCACAACTGCTTCTCTCTGCCATCCTGATGCCCCTGTTTGTGCCCTTCCATGCTGCCTCCTGTGAGTGACATGCCTGATGGCTTCACTTTTCCTAGGTGAGCCCATAGCTACAGGATTGAGAAATTTCAGCAGCAAAGTGAGAGTCTCTCACAGCCTCCTTTCTAACTGGTCCATGGTCCCTCTTGTGCTGAAGTCCTGGTCCCCACCTGGCACCATGGGAACCTGCTTCCTAGGACTAATTAACACGGAGAGAAGCCAGCCAGATGCAAATTTGTCTGCCCTGAGAATGGGACCCTTGTCACTGGGTCCCTTATCCTGAGCCCAGACCTGCTTCATTCCTCCGAGCTTTGTGTCACACTCCCTTCCCAGTCACTTCAGAGTTCTTTGGGAATGACAATCAGTCACTCCCTGGACACCTTCTGTCCTCTCCATTCAACACTTCCAGCTAATTTCCTTGTAGTCCTGCTGTAGTCCTGCTGCCTCTGGAAAGGTGATGAGTTTTGTGTTAGAGCCTGACCTTGCTCTAACCTTGCAAGTGCAAGTCTCGGCACAGCGTCCTCCATCCAAAAAAGAAAGCCCCTTCTTTCCCAGAGGGGCTTGTGCAACCTCCGGAGGCCTGGCCCAGCGCCACTTCCCCTGGGGCCCTCGTGATGCCCTGCCCAGCTGGTGGGGACTTCTCAGAGGAAGGGGGTTCTACGTGCCCAGCCCTGGCAGTGCTGGCTCCACCATGAACCTTTCAGGCCATGGTGCCCAGGAGAGACACGAGTGCAGCTGTGGAGCCTGGGGGGTGAGGGCAAGGGGCATGGGGGTGTGGAGATGAGAGCAGCAGTGACCATGGGGAGACAGTGGGAATGTGGGTGAAGACGGCCGTGGGGATGGGGCAGAGGACATCCATGGAGATATGGGCAAGTGTACCCATAAGTGGAGGAGCAGTGGAGGACACTCCCGGTACATAGCTGAGGTCACCAGTCAGAATGGGGACAAGAACACCTGTGGCAAAAGGGCAAGGGCTGCTGTGGGGATTGGGTGAGGTCATCAGTGGGGATGAGGGTGAAAACTCGCGTGGGGAGAGGGTGAGGGTATTTGTGGGATAGGTACAAGTACACCTGTAAAGGGGGGAGATGGGGGCGCGATGTCGACACACTGTAGGGAGACGGGAAGGACACCCGTGTGAATGAGGGTGAGGGCAGAGTGGCGGTGGGGAGGTCACCTGTAAGGAGTGTGGGAGGGGGCAACACGGGAAGGAGGGGTGCGAGGTCACCAGTGGGAGCGGGCGTGAGGACCCCCCTGGCGAGGGGCAGAGGTCACTCGTGGCCGTGGAGGTGCGGGCAGCCCCGGCATCCTGGCGAGGGGCGCGTTCTGCAGCGTCCC